ATTATCTCACAATGCTGTATTGCTTTTAGCCTTTAAGGTTATTTAGCAATTTAGTAATAAAAAGCAAATCCAGTAGGACATGCTAATATTAAGATACAACCTCTACATCATATGACGCAGTGTGAATCAGCACAGCAGAGATTGCGGTATCTCTGGAAGCCATTTCTATACTGGACAACTCTTGGCAATAATTCAACTACACATGCAAGTGACCAAATTAATATATGTCACAAAACTAAATGCATCTTCAACAATACTCTTCCTTAACCAATACCAAAAAAAACTATCTGTGGATATTCTGTAACACCTCGCAACACAAGAGTAAGTGTTATAGATGGGAGTGAAGACTAAAGAGAGACAATAGAATTCACTGATTAAGATTTAAATATCTTACTTTTGCGACTTTTTATTTGCAAAAAAAAAAAAAAAAAGAAAAGAAAGAAAATTGATCATGTGAACACATTAGCATTGAAAGATGTTTTTGCAAATTGGGGGCCCTGAACTTAAGCTTGATTAGGTTCACAGTAAGCCTACCTCTCTCTTTACCCACAGCACTTGGCAGAGTGCCTGGCTTCTGAATGACAGGTCTCAAATATTCTTTCTCATATAATTGCATTCAATAAATCATTAAATTGTTATTTACTTAAATGACTTTAAAATTTTCTTGAGTGGGCCAGGCGCATTGGCTCATGCCTGTAATCCCAGCACTTTGGGAGGCCAAGCCATGTGGATCATTTGAGGTCAGGAGTTCCAGACTAGCCTGGCCAACATGGTGAAAACCCGTCTCTACTAAAAATACAAAAATTAGCAAGGCGTGGTGGCACATGCCTGTAATCCCAGATACTCAGGAGGCTGAGGCAGGAGAACTGCCTGAGCCTGGGAGATGGAGGTTTCGGTAAGCTGAGATCGCACCACTGCACTCCAGCCCAGGCAACAGTGCAAGACTCCATCCCCCTCAAAAAAAAAAAAATCTTGAGTGAATTAACACTACTTGAAGGATCCCTGTAAACTGAGTCTACTTTTAATTTCTTATCTACTGGGTCACTTATAATAAAACATGTTACATATTTACCTCCTCATCTCTGCTTGCTTCCAAGAAAGAAAAGGTAAGTAATTTTGTTTTTGTATTTCAATTAGTAATTCAATAACCTGTCCGTTTTTTTGTATTTTTAAAGCAAAATAGCTTATCTCAGAGTTCAGATCAGACAATCTCACCATTGGTATTTGGATTCAGTGTCTTTTGAGGTGAGGTGAAAGAAGAACCTTTTAGAAATGCATGCAGTTAATTCAAAGCGAGGAAGAAGGATCTCGTTCTAAAGAGGCTTTGTCTATAATTGATTTTTCTAAAGGAAAAATCAACAAAAAGTATAGTGCATCGATGCTGAATGCTCTTTCAAACAAATGTTTTCATATTATAACTTGTATCAGACATAGTGTCAGGAAAATTAAATACCCATTTACTAAGAGCAAAAAATGCTCTTCAGTAAGTCTGATAATAAAAACTTCAAGATAATATTCCAAAATTACATAAGCCTGCAGTTCTTCTAATAAAGATTACTAAACTGTAGTATCAGAAAAGATACTTTTGGGGAATAAAATGATAGCGAAGCTCCCCTACTGGTTTGCACCTTACACTTGCTTAGCTAAAGGCAGTGCTTCCACCATCTCCACTTAGTGTAAATTTTGTTAACCTGAAATTTAAAATGCAAAATGATGCATAATATACAGTGCTACCCATAATGATAAGAGCTGCTCTAATATTTGGATATGGGTTTTCACAGGCAGGAAAATATGCAGTTTCTAAAAAATGATTCAAAGTTCATGAAAAAGTGGAAATAAATGGTTTACTCTGTTGTCCACATAAATCCACAAGGACTTGGAATGGAAACAAACAGCAATTATTATCTTTAAAAATCCTTTCTTTAATACTTTGGCATTGCAGTCTACCTTCAAAACAATTGCTTTGAATATAACTTTTTTTAAAACTGAAAAAATATACTTTATCTTCCTTTTGTGACTACACAATTATTTTTTTCTTTTTTAAATCAGAAACTCATTGCTTGCTAATGACTATACAATTATTATTGTTTTTGTTGTTTAGAGACAGGGTCTCACTCTGTCACTCCAGCTACAATGCAGTGGCACAATCATAGCTCACTGCACCCTCAACCCCCTGGGCTCAAATGATTCTTCCAAGTGGATAAGACTACATGCCACTAGGCCTGGCTGATTTATTTTTATTTTTTTTAGAGATGGGGTCTTACTATGTTGCTCAGGCTGGTCTGTGATTCCTGGCCTCCAGCAGTCCTCCTGTGTAGCTGGGATTACAGGTGTGAGCCACAGCACTAGCCTAAAATAATTATTTTTCAGTTCCTTATTTAAAACGTTCTTAGCAGGACAGGCACAGTGGCTGACTCCTATAATCCCAGCACTTTGGGAATCTCAGCCAGGCAGATCATGTGAGGTCAGGAGTTCAAGACCAGACTGGCCAAGATGGTGACACTCCGTCTACTAAAAACACAAAAAGATTAGCCAGATGTGATGGCACTTGCCTATAATCCCAGCTACTTGGGAGTGTGAGGCAGGAGAATCACTTGAACCCGGGAGGCAGAGGTTGCAATGAGCCAAGATCATGCTACTGCATTCCAGCCTGAGTGACAGAGCAAGACTCCATCTCAAAAAATAAAATAAAATAAAATATTTTAGCAGTATGTAAAATCAAAACAACCACAAACTTCTTTGTAGGCGAATCCATTTATAATAAACTTGTATGTAGATAAATTACATGAATGTGATTTGACTCAAAATATATCTGACTTCAGATGATATTTATTAGATACTTGTTTTTATTTCTTTATCTATTCAGGTTTATGGCAACCAGCTACCAAGATGGCTCCCAATGACCTCTGCCTGTGGCATAAATGCCCATGTGTAGTTCGTTCCTACATTTTATCATGGCTGGTCTGTGGGACCAACAGAATACAGAAGCGATGATATGTTACTTCTGAGGCTAGGTCATACAAAGACTTTGAGGTTTTGCCTTGTTCTGTGTCAGGTCACCCTCTCTGGAAGAAATCAGTTGCACTGTCATGAGGATACTCACACAGTCTTACAAAGAAGTCTATTCGACAAAGAACCGAGGTCTCCTGTCAACAGCTGGATGAGTGAGCCATCGTGGATGAAAATCCTCTAGCCCCAGTCAATCCCCTTCAAATGACTGCAGCCCTGGCTAAAAAATTAAGTGCAACATATAATACCCTAAGGCAGAATCACCCAGCTAAGCTGCTCCTAGATTTCTGATGCACGAAAATTGTGTGAGAGATCAAATCTGAACATTTGTAGAGGTTCCTGAGAATTGATCTCCATATTCTTTAAAGGGAAATTTAAAAGAGCACTGGATATAGAGAGATTATTTTTCCCACAAACCTGAATTAACCTTACAGATTTTTTTAATATGAGTCCTGAGACATAATTTTGCTTTTTGGAGAACAGACTTATTCTTTTAATAGCTTAACTTTTTTTTTTTTTTGAGATGAAGTCTCACTCTGTCACCAGGGCTGGAGTGCAGTAGTGCGATCTCGGCTCACTGCAACCTCCCCCTCCCAGAGACAAGCAATTCTCCTGCCTCAGCCTCCCTAGTAGCTGGGATTACAGGTGACTGCCATTACACCAAGCAAGGTTTTTATATTTTTAGTAAAGACGGGGTTTCACGAGGTTGGCTAGGCTGGTCTCGAACTACTGACCTCATGATTAGCCCGCCTCAGCCTGCCAAAGTGCTGGATTACAGGCATGAGCCACCTCACCCAGTCCAACATTTTTTTTTTTTTAATAGAAATGTTTGGAAAACTAGATTCCTATTTTCTCCAATTACAAGAGAAATTTGATCCTGTGGTGGCGATTTTTCTCTCTCACCATTACATTATGTTGGAAATTCTGAAAATGGGATTGTTAGAAGCAGAGATAAAGGCTATAGACAAGGGAGAGGAGACAGAAAAGGGGGTGAAATGTAATCTCACAATTCCCTACACCACTTATTTCCTAAGATCTTGTCTCACGCAAAAGACATCAGAGACAGAAGGCTTTCTCTGTCCACATCTCCCATAGGGATGAAGACAGATTATCATTTCTCGGAAAGTAAAGAAAAGATGAATTTTTCTTTATCAAAATTTAAACCTCATTAGGGATAGAGGTTAAAATTAATTGAGACATCTGTAAGAGTAACAAGTACTGCTATTCTGGGCACAATGCCCGTGGGGTAGCCCTGCTACACAAGAAGCAGTAAAGCCAAAAAACAACTAACAGGTAGTTCTCTCTTTAGCACATTGTGAAGTATACTTTTCATGATCCCAGTCCCATTCCAATCCCAAATTGCCCAAAGCAAGGAATACCTATTATTTAACATCAAACATAGGACATATTAAAGGCAAATGAAGAGTAAAAAATATTAACAATGCAGATGATAAAATACTACTGATGTTATTACCTGGATCTGTAGGAGTTGGTCTCTCAGAGTACTTGGATACATTGCAATTTGGTATATTCTCTCCTAGTCTCCACGTCTATCACTAGAAATGCTATTATGGAAGTAATCAGAATTATTATCTCTTTTTGACAGATGATGAAAGTGTGAAGAGGATTTTCTCAAAGTCAGCTCGTTAGTGGCAAGGAAGAGACTATAATTCAGACCTTGTAGAATCCAAAATGGGGCCTTTCTCCAGATCATGTTATTGTTGAATGCACTAAGCAAATCTTTAGGACATAAAAAAATAATCAATTTAAGAGCATTATTCTTATTTTTAATTCACTTTTAAGTTCTATGTTAATTATTAATTTAATATACTTATATAGTGGGTTTTTTAAAGATGAAGTCTCACTCTGTTGCCCAGGCTGGAGTGCAATGGGGGTGCAGGGTCACAATCGTCGCTCACTGCAGCCTCATACTCCTGAGCTCAAGGGATCCTTCCACCTTAGCCTCCCTAGTAGTAGGAAATGTAGGTATGAGCCACCGCACCCAGCTTATATAGTAATTTTTAATAGTTAACAATTTTTAAGGCCAGGCACAGTGGCTTAAACCTGTAATCCCAGCACGTTGGGAGGCCAAGGTGGGAGGATCACTTGAGTTCAGGAGTTTGAGACTAGCCTGAGCAACACAGCAAAACTCCATCGCTACACATTTTTTTTTTTTTTTTTTTTGAGACAGAGTCTTGCCCTGTTGCCCAGGCTGGAGTACAGTGGCACGATCTTGGCTCACTGCCACCTCCATCTCCTGGGTCAAGTGATTCTCCTACTTCAGCCTCCCTAGTAGCTGGGATTACAGGTGTGCACCACCACACCCAGCTAATTTTTCTATTTTTAGTAGAGACAGGGTTCACCGTAGTGGCTAGGCTGGTCATGAACTCCTGACCTTAAGTGATCCACCAGCCTCACCCTCCCAAAGTGCTGGGATTCCAGGCATGAGCCACAGTGCCTGGCTCTACAAATAAAATTTTAAAAGTCAGCCAGTGGTGGCGGTACATGCCTGTGGTCCCAGCTACTCAGGAGGCTGAGGTGGGAGAAGCACTTGAGCCCAGGAGGCTGAGGTGGCAGTAAGCATGATTGGACCACTGCACTTCAGCCTGAGTGACAGAAACCTCATTTCAATAGTAATTTTTTTTTACAGACAGGATCTCACTACGTTGCCCAGGCTGGTCTTGAATTCCTGGACTCAAGTGATCCTCCCACCTCAGCCTCCCAAAGTGCTGGGATTACAGGTGTGAGTCAGCATGCCTGGCCATATAGTTATAATTTTAATGCACTATTTTATAAAATTAGCTTATTATTGTCCCAATATTCATTGTTTCTGCTCCATGCACTGTCAGTCCTTTCTATTACTAATGATCAGTCCATTGGTATAAAGAATAGCCTACTTATAAAAGAAACTTTTTTCTCCCACCTATACACACTTTGAGGATGTGAATTTGCTGTCGCTAATTTTTCAAATAGCTTTTTGAAGGATGAGCAGAATGGAAAAGAGAAAAGTCACTTCTGACCTCAACACGGAACCAGAAATAGGTCATGAATAGAAAAGCAAAACAAGGAGTACTACTAAGAACGTGACCTAACTCGAATAGAAATGGCATACCAAGTAGATGAGGAAAACAAAGAATAAGGAGGCTGTTGAAGCACCTGGAATGACTAAGTTAACGCAATACCTATAAAAGATAATGCCCTTGAAGACCCACTTAAAAGACTCTCCCTCTGCAAAACCTACCCTCATTTCCCTAAAAGAAATTAGAAGAAATTGTACTCCGTAAAATAATAGAGCACCTCTCCTGTAGCCTTCATCAGGCCAAAGCTATTTATGATTTAGCACAAGAGGACTCGAATCTCCTTTAAGGCAGGGTCCTTGTTGGGCTGATTTAACTCCTATGTTTGTTTGTTTGTTTGTTTTTCTGGAGACGGAGTCTGTTCTGTCTCCCAGGCTGGAGTGCAGTGGTACAATCTTGGCTCACTGCAACTGCCCCTCTTCCGGTCTCCGAATTCAAGTGATTCTTCTGCCTCAGCCTCTCAAGTAGGTGGACTACTTGAAGTGCGTTCCACCATGCCTGCCTAATTCTTGTATTTTTAGTAGAGATGGGGTTTCATCACGCTGGTCAGGCTGGTCTTAACTCCTGATAATCCACCCACTTTGGCCTCCCAAAGTGTTGGGATTACAGGTGTGAGCCACTGTGCCCAGCCTCCTATGGTTTTTGTTGTTGTTGTTATTGCCAGGAGTTGGGTGAGATGGGGTAGAGAAAGATATATATTTGCTTCAGAGCTACAGTTCTTATTAACAGGTTGAAGGTGGAGGAAGACAGGGAGGAGAGGAAAGGAAAGGGAAAATGACCTCACTGTCTATGGAGTGTCCTCTGTGTGCTTGACATAGTGCTAGACATTTATATATGTCATCTCAGAGGGGAAACTAAGGCTTAGAGCATCTATCCAAGGTCACTCCGCTGATGTTGAGTGGTGAAGTCAGGATGAGTCTAATTATTTCTTCTTCCAAAACTGGTGCTGAGGTTAGGTGTGGTGGCTCACACCTGTAATCCCAGCACTTTGGGAGGCCAAGGCAGGTGGATTACTTGATGCCGAAAGTTCAAAACCAGTCTGGTCAACATAGCAAAACTCCGTGTCTGCAAACATTGGTTGGGTATGTTGGTACGTGCCTATAGCCCCAGCTACGTGGGGGACTTAGGCCCAAGAATCGCTTGATCCCAGGAGGTGGAGGTTGGCAGTAAGTTGAAATCGCACCACTGCACTCTAGTCTGGGTGACAGAGTGAGACTCTTTCTAAAAAAAACCAAAAAACAAAAACACCTGGTACTGAGTTTTAAGTATCTGCTGGAAAACTAGTTCTGTTATAGTATTTGGAGATGGCTAAAGGAAGGCATTTCACAGCTGTTCTTAATTATTTCTGGGTTATGGAAGAAACTCTCCCATAAAAGTGTGGATGTGCAAATATATACGTCATTATGAGTTTTGCATACCACTTCAGAAGGATTGGCTAAGGAACCACAGAAACAAAGGCAAGAACCTCAGATTACGGTATTCCCAACCACCTTCTCCCATTCCACTCCACCCTAAACCTCTTCCCAAAGCCTGAGAGTAATTAAAACCGGAGAAAATATAAACACGAAAGTCTGGGTGGGAGAAGCAAATGCAAACTTCTAATACAGTATTGTACTCGAAAATGTCATGGAGAACTTGATTAGGAGACACTGAAAAATGTAGGGACAATCTTTAAATTTCACAGTTATGACCTTCAGACCATATATGATGTAAGGTTAAGAGACAGGGTTATCACAATACATTCTAAGAGAGTGAAAATAGCTGAAAACCAAACTGAACGGAAAATCCCAGGAAGTATACTATATTTAATGGAAGAGAGGTTTATTTCTGTTATTCTGTCTGGGGAACTTTTCTTGAAAAATATGTTTGGATTTTATGGGCTAAAGAAAATGTTTTAAATGAGGTTTATGTGATTTTTTTATACCCTGTATTTTTTCCAAGAGGATTTAAAAGAGATTACAGGTTTATAGAAAATATAACAAAATATTATGAATCACACATAGGAAAAAAAGGTAGAGACAAAAAATAGAGCCAGGAACGAAGCTGATATTAAACCATGAATTTATACAGTGATTAGGCCTTTACTTCCTCAAGGTAATTTCTTTTTTTTCTTTTTAATTTTCTGTAGAGACAGGATCTCGCCATGTTATCCACGTTGGTCTTGAACTCCTAGGCTCAAGAGATCCTCCAGTCTTTGCCTCCCAAAGTGATGGAATTACCTGCGAGAGCCACTGCACTCAGCCCCTCAAGGTAATTTCTAAATTTTATGCAGCACTGAGAGTTTTATGTATTGGAGATATATTTTTCACAATTTACACAATATTTTCACATACATTATCTTATTTGATCCTAAATGGACTTTGTGAGGCAGTTATTATCTACATTTTCCATAAAAAGAAACTGAAACTCAGAAAAGAACCTGAAAAATCCTGTCCTTCAAGATGGAGAATTGCTTGAGGCCAGTAGTTCAAGACCAGTGTGGGTAACACAGGGAGTCTCTATCTCTCCAAATAATAATAATAAATAAGCTGGGCGTGGTGGCACGTGCCTGTGGTCCCAGCTACTTGGGAGGCTGAGGCAGGACAATCACTGGAGCCCAGGAGGTCAAGACCGGCAGTAAGCCATGATCAGGTCACTGTACTCCAGCTTAGATGACAGAGCAAGACCTCGTCTCAATCAATCAATCAATCAATCTATGGTCCTGGCATTTTCACAAGAGAAGGATTACCACCTTCTTTACATATGGCTTTAGATTTGGAGGCTGGCTAAACATAAAATTAAAGGACTTCATGCTTGGAATAGCCCTTTTATGAAACACTTAACTCTTTTACTTTATAGATGAGCACACTAAAGCCCCCAGGTTTTTAAAAATAATTATTTCTTTCAATAATGATTTTATTTATTAAGACACAGAGTTTCAATCTATAGCCCAAACTGGAGTCCAGTGGCACCACCCTAGCTCACTGAAGCCTCCAAATCCTTGGCTCAAGGTATCCTACCTCTTCAGCCTCCCAGGTAGCTGAACTGCAGGCACAAGCCATCACAACCTGTGCTCTGAAGCTTTAAGAGGCCAAATGATTCCTCACATTCATTCGATCAATTACAGGTAGAGCCAAGACCAAAAGCCAGGTTTCCTAAGTTATTTTCTTTATAACACATTGCCTCTATAGCTTTATATCCGTGTGTATGATTTTTGTTACATATCCAGTTCTCATCCTCTTTCCTGTCACAATTTCCCTTGTGTCTACCGGGTAGTTTTAAATGCATGTTGACATAGCATACAAGGCCCTGCATAACCTGGCACAAGAGATCTCTCCAGGTACTCTCCTACTCTAATAATACAGGAATACTCCTGACTCCTAGGAGGCTAGACATTTGTGTAACATCCTGATAGAGATGTCCTGTTTAGGCTGTGTTGGTGAAGGAAGGCCACATCTCTCTATCCTGTGAGAGTGAGTACTTGAGTTTCTCCTCTATCACCCAGGAAGATTCGGTGAAGGCACTCAAGTGGGAGGGACAAAATGACGTCTGAAACCTGGAGGCCTTGGGCAGGGACCTCCCCTTCCTTAAACTCAAGGTAAATGAACCAAATTTTGCGATTCCAGGTAACTTTTCATGTCAAATTCTTCTGTGCCATCCCTAACCCTTTGGTAAAATCCCCTCCAAATATTTCAGAAAAACCTTGTGAGATCATATTTGGCAAGGCCATCCAAAGCATGTAGCAACCCTCCATATCTAGCCAGCATGATGGTGTCAGTACTAATCACAACATGACAGATTCCAAAGAGGAGAGGAGAGTATTACGCAACAGGAACCAGGGCCACTAAATCCCAATCACTTTTCCCCAGCAATGATTCTCCTTCCATATGGGGTTATAAGTTATGAGGATATGGGTTAGTCAATTAGATTCCTTATGCAATTTCAAATTCCCTGAACAGATCCAGGAATTTTGCATTCTGTTCCTTGTCCATAAACTTTGGTTCCCTTCCCCAAACTGTTGTTCTTTTGACAAAGTCTTTTTTTTTTCTTTTGAGATGGAATCTCACTCTGTCGCCCAGGCTGGAGTGCAGTGGTGCAATCTCAGCTTACTGCAATCTCCACCTCCCAGGTTCAAGCAGCCTCAGCCTCCCAAGTAGCTGGGATTACAGGCAGCCACCACCATGCCTGGCTAATTTTTTTTTTTGTATTTTTTGTAGAAACAGGGTTTTATCATCTTGGCCAGGCTGGTCTTGAACTCCTGACCTTCTGATCCAGCTGTCTCGGCCTCCCAAAGTGCTGGGATTCTTTTGATAAACTCTTACTCATCATTCATATTCCCAGCTCAGACATCATTATCTCTAGGCAACCTTTCCTGACACTTTTAACTATTCTCTACCTCCTCTTCTATAACCTGTGTTCCTTTTGAACAGAGTGATGACATTTTGGGCTTGATGATTAAAAAAGAAAAGTAGAAAAACAGAACATAGAATATACAGGGCCTCTAGTTGCTATGCCTGGCAGTGCATGAAACAGTATTCATTAACTATTATTTAAACGCATAAATTAGTCATTTTGTTTTTTCCGTTAACAGTATTTCTTAATAGGCAACTCATGAACACTCCAAAAAAATGTCAAATTGCACAAAAAATTTCAGAAAAAAGTACATTTCCCCCCAA